TGCCGGCAATAGACCACATTCTTCCTTCCGACCTTACTCTACCTAGTAAAACACCTAACGAAGGTGATGCCCCATCAAACACAATAGCATTGCGATGCTTCCACAACTCCCACAAAGTCAGCAAGAAAACCGTATGAAGATCCTTCTTGTGCCAGCCGTTAGTCCCATGCTTCTCCGCAAGCCAGATGGCTAAGGAATCGTGTGCAGTCGGAGTCCAGTCCAGCATGCCCAGCGCCTCACATACTGCAGCCCACGCTGACCTGGCAAAGACGCACGTCAGTAGCACATGATCAATCGTTTCGTCCTCCTGGTCGCATAAGGGGCATGCATCCTCGTGTGGGAGGCCTCTCCTCGCCAGTCTGTCAGAGGTCCAACACCTGTTTCTTAAGGCAAGCCAAGCAAAAAACTTGCAGGTAGCTGGGGCGTGAGACTTCCAGGTCAGCTCTACCATAGGCTCAACCGTCCGTCCCCAAAATTTTGCCGCGTAAGCCGAGCGCACCGAGAAACGGCCGTTGGTCTCCCATGACCAACCGACCAAGTCCGGCCCATCCACCTTCTGCTCCCACGTTCTTACTTTGATCCAAAGCTGTAAGTACTCCTGCAATGCTCCCTCACCAATATTCGGGCCAACATCCGATGCCCAAGACCCATTTTGCACAGCCTGGGCAACTGATCTCGTCAATCTGGTCCGCCTTGGGATCATACCATATATTGTTGGAGCAATCTCTTGTATCCGCATACCATCTAGCCAACGATCCTCCCAAAAAGTGTATGGAGACCACAGTTTGCTTCACTCCTCATAGCCGCCTGGACAAGTAACTTAGCTTCTTTGGGGATCTTGATCTTGAACTCGCTCCAAGGTCTACTCGTGTCCACTCTTGTGAGCCATGCCCACCTGGCTTGCATGGCCACATTCAGCCATCCAAGGTTAGGTATCCCTAAGCCACCAGCCCACTTCGGCGCACACACCGAATCCCAAGCAACCGCACAGTTCCCTCCGTTAGCTTCCGCTCTTCTGCACCATAGGAAGCCTCTACACACTTTGTTCATTGCCGCAATCGTCTTCTTTGGTAAGTCGAGCGCCATCATGGCGTGGATGGGCATGGCACAGAGCACAGACTTCACCAATGTAAGCCGCCCACTCTTCGGCATTAGAGCCGCTTTCCACTTAGGCAGACAATTTGCCATCTGATCAACTAGAAACTGCATTTGTGCCGCGGACTGCTTCCTAAAGGTCAGCGGCAGCCCAAGGTACTTAATTGGAAAAGCCCCTCTCGGGCATCCCAGCCGATGACACACCGTACCTGCCTCCTGATCATTGCATCTTATCGGTAGGGCCACCGATTTGCCCATGTTTATCCTCAAGCCCGAAGCCTCTCCAAACATTTCTAGAATGTTCTTGCATATGTCTAGCTCCGTGGACTTGGGCTTGATGAACACCACCACATCATCAGCAAATATAGACAAGCGCTGCCTCATACCTGTATGTGCCAAGGGCTCCAACACACCACTAGTCGTGGCCCTCTGAAACAACCTCTGCAACGGTTCCATAGTAAGAATGAATAGCATCGGCGATATCGGATCCCCTTGTCGCAGCCCCTTGTAGTTATAGATGGTGTCGCCGGGGTCTCCATTTACCATGACTTTGGTGGTGGATGTTGAAAGGATTCCACAGATCCAGGATCTCCACCGAGGGCCAAACCCCATTTGTTGCATCACCTCAAGCAAGAACGGCCACTGCACCGAATTGAAGGCCTTCGAAATATCTAACTTTAGAAGCACCGAGGGCATCCTCAGGGCATTCAGCCTTCGGGCCATACTTTGAACCAACATGAAGTTGTCATGCAGCGATCGACCTTTCACAAAAGCGCTCTGGTGGTTTCCAACCAACTGCGGAAGGTGCACCACCAAGCGACAAGCAAGCACCTTCTCAAAAATTTTGATAGCCCCATGCACGAGGTTGATCGGCCTGAAGTCACCCACGTCCAAAGCACCATCCATCTTAGGCAATAATGTCACCAAAGATTTGTTGATAGCCGCCAATCCCCTCATGTCTCCATTGTAGAAGCAATCCATGGCCTTCATGAAATCTACCTTAATAATGTTCCAACACTTTGCATAGAACCGGCCCGTGAACCCATCCGGCCCTGGCGCCCTATCCGGGGGCATATCCTTAATCACATTTTCCACTTCCTCCATAGTGAAAGCCACCTCCAACCGTGATAGGTCCAGATGCGGCAGGTCTAGCCCCTGTAGGTTTAGTGTGTAACTCCGCGGTTCCACGGTGCCGAAAGCCCTGCCGTAGTACGCATCCACCGCGGACGCCACCTCTTCCTGCCCTGAGTGAATAGCCCCATTGTATTTCACCGATTTGAGTACATTCTTCCGCTGCCTGTGACTAGCTTGTTGATGGAAAAGCCTCGTGCTCCCATCCCCTTCTTGGAGCTGCAGTAGCCTGGAGCGTTGTCTTGCGATAGTTCTCTCCAGTGAGCATAGCCCTAACAACTTCCTCTTTAAGCGTCGCCTCAAATCCCTCTCTGCGTCTACTAGCTGTCTTGATTCCATGGCAACGTCTAGCTGCTTTATCACCTCCAATGCAATGGATATCTGTAACTTTACATTACCAATCCAATGGTTGCTCCACTTCTGAAGACTAACCGCCGTGGCCCTCAGCTTGTTCTGGAGCGTAAGATAGTCGTTCGAGGCCACAAGGGTGGAGTCCCAAGCCGCCTGTACTGTTTCCATGAATCCCTCCGCCTTGACCCAGAACGCCTCAAACTTGAACCTTTTCCTCATCATAATCTCCAAGTTCATATCGAGAAGCAGTGGGCAGTGATCCGATACTGCCGTACCCAGCGCAGAAAGGAAACATGATGGGAATGCTTCATCCCATTCATTGGAGACAAAGACATGATCGATTTTCTCTAGTGTTGCGTTCTGCCTCTCGTTGGACCAAGTGTATCGTCGCCCATTCAGGTATAGCTCCTTCAGTTCTAGCATGTTCAGCTTAGATCTGAACCGCCTTAACATCCTCCGATTAATCAAATCATTGTTCTTGTCCTCCTGCCCAGCTATGAGATTAAAGTCTCCAGCAACTAGCCAAGGCCCCGCGTGCAGGTCCCGTATATCCACCAGGTCTTGTAGGAACTCAAGTTTGTCGGCCTCCTCCTGGGGGCCGTAGACACATGTCAACCACCAGGCTTGTTCATCCTCCGGACACTTGACCAGTGCCGTCAACATATGATTTGTGTAGTGCGGGTTGGACAAGTGAGTAATAGATTCATCCCACGCCACCAAGATCCCACCACGTGTTCCCAACGCCGGTAAGTAGAAGAACTTCTCATATTTATTACCAAGGCATTGGCGCACAATGCTTGCAGATACATCATGCAATTTCATCTCTTGTAGACATACAATGGCCGGGTTGGCGGATGTCACCACCTGAAATAGAGCATTCCTCCTCGCCGGAGCATTAAGCCCACGGACATTCCACACCAACATCTTAAGGGGTTGTGCATTCATTTGCGATGCCCACAACGACCCCGCGTAGCAGAACGGGTCACTAGGCCACAGCCGGCCCGTCGATCCACGGTTCCTGGGGTGATTCCCATCCAACCAAGGCCAGCACAGCCGCAATGTGCGCATCCGAGAGCGGGCGTGAGAAAAGGTCAACGTACATCCGAAGGGCATCCTCCGAAATAGCCTCTCCCTCATGTGCCAAGCACAACTTCCTGATGAGCACTTGTTGCGGCTTAGATGCCGCATGTTTGGCAATCCTGGCACTCCTCCTGGGTGTGACTTCGATCCTCTGCTTCTTCCTTGCTTGACGGCAGGTGTGGGCAACATTCCTTCTATTCGGCCTGGGCAAGATCGGAGACAAGGGTTGGCGAACACCAGCACAAAATGCCCCCACGTCTACGTGAAACTCGTCCCCCACCCCTGCCTGCATGGGAGCGGCGCTGCATGGCCTCGAATCCAACGCATGGCCAAGCTCCTCCTCAGGTGGGTCCTTATCCACCCCATTGGCCGGACAGTGTGGCCTGCATGCCAGTTGGTTGGCCATATGGCCCACCTCGTCCTCTGGCTGGCCCGCGTCAGGCGCTTGCCCAACCATACCCAGCCTCGGGTCCTGCAGCGGGCTTGTATCCCCCGAGGAGAGGCTGACCTGGAAAGTGTCCCAGGGCTCCACCTGCATGGCGCAATCCTCCACATCCTGTTGCAACGACAGGAGTTCCTGATTTTCCCCAGTCCCGAAGCTTGCCAAATCTTCGTCCGTCATATCCTGCAGGAGGAAGGGGATTTGAACCAATCTGATCTGCACAGATCCATGCACATTCCGGCCTCCAATGGGCACCCGGACCGAGGCGGCGGCCCCACTCCCCTGCGTCCCAGCAGCTTCGTCCACCTCCTTCTGTCGCCACCTGATTAGCTGCACCGATGGTGGTGAGCACGCAGTCTTCGTGGACCCCATCGCTGTCGGGGCCGGGCAGGACGCCTCGCGTGACAGGGAACAGCTGGCCCCCAACGCGCCGGGCCCCAAGATTGGCTGAACGACCGGGCCCGTGGGGATACGCATGGCGTCAGCCACGCGGCTGTTGCTGACCAACCCGTCATCCATCCGCATCGTTTGACCGCGGTTGCGCACACCCCTCGTCGGCAACGCCGCCGCCGCCGTAGACGATCCGGCCGTGCTCGCCGAATCACCACCATGGCCGCCCGTACGCCGAGCGTGACCACCTTGTCCACCTTGACCACCATGGTTACCAGGCGCTGGATCGTCATTCCCAGTGGGTGGCGATGGAGGCGGAGGCGGCGCCGGCCGCCCCTCCATAGCCTCGTCGTCCACCAACGGGTCCGCCAGACAAACACACTAAAGGCAGATGGTTCAAAAGCACCCTTGGCTTGCCTGTACATCAAAAGCTTTCCTGCAGACACGCTCTTCAGGATCCAAAACACCAAGACAGTGATTTGGACTACTGAACATGGCACAGCTGCACCTGTTACAGCTCCCAGTAGTATCTGGGATCATCCATGGAGTAGGTTGGCACAGGCGAGTCAGGGGACGAGGGGAGCGAGTAGTCATCCCAGTAGTTCTCGCCGTAGTCATCGTTGTCCATCGCTGCCTCGTTGTGGAGAGCCTGAGCCTCTATTTCATAGAGATTAGGCATCTCGATCACTTCACCTTCGTCCTCCTCGATGGTATCAAGTTCTGGGCAATGAGCGTGAGGCCACGCTCCTGGCAGACGGACATGCTTGATATTGGCACAGCGAGCTTTGAGTTCAGCGTCAACTAGGAGGTGGCCGCATTCTCTAAGGTCGAGGAACTCGAGGTGGGGGCAGCCTTCAAGGATGGCGTACACCCCTTTTTTAGTCAGGCCGTAGCCTGCCATCTGCAGGAGCCGCAGCTCGTGCAAGCTCTCTGCTATGGCGAAGGCCTCCTCATTGTGTCTCGTCTCCCAGGCTTCATAAGGCTCCTCCTCCTCCTCTTCCTCCTCGTCGTTTTGCCGCTGTTCCATCCTGATCTCACGCTCTATTGAATCTGAATCGTACCATGGCAAACAGACTCTTAGACGCTTCAGCGCTGGGCAGGCTGCACCAATCCCCTTGAAAAAGTCCCATGTCAGCTTCTGACCAGAGTACTCTATCTTTTCTAGCATTGGACATTTAGCTGCAAGCTTAATTACTACGTCCTCATCATCCCAAAAGTAATAGGCGCCGATGAGCCAATGCTCTTCAATGAGTTGCATCTGCAGAGACAAGTACGAAAGTAGACACACATGAACCGAGTAAAATCAGACAAGTACAGTAAGACTACATAACAAGTTTAAACAGTACACATATTTTCTCCTTAAAGGAAGACTTCAAGATGCTCCGGGGGGTTCATAGTCGACCTTGGGGGGTTCATAGCCAACCTTGTTGGGGGCCTGCCCTAGTCACTAGTTGCTTTTCTCAAAAGACTCCTACTAATTAGCATTACTTTTTCATCTCCTCTTATAGTGAGACACTAAGTAGCTTGTAGTGATAGCTACGTAAATACAATCTAACTTTGTACCCCTGATCCTTGATTAATATAACAAGAAGACTGTAGGAAACTCTCCTACAATCATTCACAATTCAAAACAAACGTATGAGAAATATCAAATGAGTTTCACAATTGGCAATAAGTAACCTGTCGTAAATATCATATAACGATGTACCGTAAATATCTAACAAGAGTCAGTACATCAAGGCAAATTATTTGGCCACAGGCGACCTGTCCTAAATATGTTTCCCTATTTGTTGAGACAAATATAGCCATACAGAAAGCATTCGGCTGTCCTTTGAACCTCATGAAGATAAAACTATTATACATATGTCTCGATAATATATCATAAAAGCTGACATGTTTAGCAAAAAATAAACTATTAGGTGGTTGGTAAATACTGCAAACAGTGTGTCAGCACTACAGATTGATAGGTTTCAGAGTGTGACACATACAGAGTAAGAGACCAAATGCTGAAATTCAAGAATGGGAATTTAGGACACAAATAACAATTACCTGCTTGCAATGTAATTCAGGAGTTCACTACTGACAAACTTCTGAGCCCAGAACGATTCCATCCGTCCATCAGAGCGATCTATAGCCACCTTTGCCATTTGGCACATGATGTTTCCCCCCTTGGAGAAAACCAACTTGTGGCGTGTCATGTCCACGAAACGCCACAGCTCAGGGGACTTGGCTGCCACCAACCATGAGCGGCACACAAGTCCGGCGCCCATCAGTATCTCAATGGTCCCAAGCTTCATGAAGATTGCAGAAAGCGCATCGAGTGGGAGCTCAGACCAATCCCTGAAATCAGATACAGGCAATGGGTTTGGCCCCGCCTCCATTGTGCCAGGGAGGTCCTGAAAAACAAGGTGTATTCACAGAGATAACATGGATGCCCAAATTTAGCAAGAGCTTGAAATTTGCACGATGAGACAGCTTTAATACAAGATAGACAACGGTTATGCAATGTAGGAGTGGTTTCTCCATGGTACAAGATAACATAACTTTTACAGAGAAACGAATGGCTGATCAAGTGGTTTAGCCGGAAACAACAATCAGATAATTAGCTGAATACGAAATACCCTTTTAAAAAGTTTTTTTAGGGAGGGTGTAGCGAAGCAAAGCTCGGCTTGTTTAGGGGGCAAGAAAGTTCTGCAGAACAACCACCCAATTTGGTGCCAAAAGCACTCCCTCAAGATGAACTCTTATTTAAGCTTTGCAATCGATGATAAGCCAATCAGACCAAGTTAGCAAATCAATCCACCCTTATCATCTCTGAATCCACCCAATTATGATTTACCCAAACATCCATCAAACCGGTATACGCACCACTCTGTTCTTGTGCGGGTAGGCCTGAAACCCCTGCTTCGCCATCTCGGGCAGCAGGTCGTCGCCGGCCACGGCCTCCCGCTTCGCCCTCTTGCATCTGTCGCTCCTCGCCCTGCAAAGCACCGACGCGTCAGCCGCCGAAACCAAAGGGCAAAGGCCGTTCAAGCCAAACGGAGACCGAAGCGCGGCGGGTGGATGAAAGAGGACGAGCTCCTGCACGGCCTCCTCGTCGATTTCCCCGTTGGGCGGGATGGCCTTCCTCATTGTCAGGACCCGAGTGCCTCTGTCTGAAGATCCGATCGCTGCAAACAGGATTCAGTTAATTCAAACCCGTCCGAACAGGCGGGAAACGTCAGGAGCCACACATCTTCGATCGCACGGCCGAGACGTCGTCGTACCGCTTCGCCAGTTATGATGACCCGACGAGCGTCCGATCTTCATCGTGTGGCGGGGACTGCCCTGGAGGTCGCTGTTCCCATTCCGGCAAAGACCGCAGCGTTTCTCTCCTTTCTATTTTGCTCTTGCTCTTCTTTTTCCTTCCCTTTGTAAGGCTATAAAGCCAGGAGTTGGGATCGAGGTTAGGTATCTTTTTTGTTAGGGTTTCCCCCTTGCCGCCGCCAGTGTTCCTGGTCAGCTAGAACCTCTGTAACGAGCTAGACTCGCTAATTATTCCTCTGAAATTCAAGCTAAACTCCACTAGTTCAGTCTCTGTTTTACTGAATTCCATGCTTCAGACCACCTGGGTCTGACAAGTGGTAATCAGAGCCAGGTTCATCTCCTTGGCGGCGTAAGATCGGGTGCCGAAGTGGAGTTGGAGGAGCCGTAAAATCCTTCACTTCCCACCGGACAATCTTGGCGGCGGTGTAGCTGACGGCGGCGGTGCAGGCGGCGGCAGGATCTACGGTCAAGGTCGGGTTGCAGCAAGTGCTATGGTAAAATTCCTCCCTTTGCCTGACGATCTCTTGCAGTGAGGTTACTGGCTCCCTGCCAGTTCTAAAAACCCTCTCTGCGTCACTCCATCAAGATGACTGGCCCATCTGATTCGTCCTCCACAAACAACCTGGAGATGCAATCCTTACAACTCGATGTCCAAACACTGTAGAGAAATCGAGAGCAGGACAGACAGGACTTCGAGGACTTCAGGGACCATGTGCAAGACAACTTCCAGTCAATGCAGAAGTCTTTGGGGGAATTACAGGGCACACTTAACAAATTTATCTCTGGATTTCCAAAACCACGTGAAACCCCACCCATTCCCCAAGATATCCCTCAAGGCAGTGGACAAAATCATACACCACAAGGCCCAGTGCTTCGGCCAGTCGATGGCCTCCAAACCCCTCCTACTGCAGGCTCTGTAACTTTGGTGGATAAGCACACTGGAAAAGAACTTAACTTGGATGGCAGCACCAAAATTCCGTACAGGCACCCCCACTTTGCGGACAACAAACTTCTCCCACCTGATGCCAGAGCAACTACTGCAATTCCTCAAATAGGAAACATGCAACAAATCACTCAGTTAGAACAAGAGCAAGCTGAGGAGCAGGTTCAGCAAATAGCTGGCAGAGGGGGCAATGCACAGAGAGATCAAGTCCAAGACAACAGAAGACCTCTGACTTTGGTGAAACCTGCTAAGTATAACATACCAGAGTTTGATGGCAGTGGAACTGACTCTTGGATCCAAACCATTGAAATGTACTTTGAAGCTGCTAGGACACCACTGGAGCAGAAAACTGAAATTGCTGTCACTTACTTAAAGGGGCCAGCAATAGAGTGGTGGAGAGGAACTGGAATTATTGCCAATACCCTACCCTGGTACAGGTTCTGTAGACTGATTGGAGACAGGTTTTCCGAAACTTCAGTATGTGACAATGTCAGAACTTTTCATGCTCTCAACCAAACTGGGTCTGTTAATGACTATGTGCTCAAGTTTGAACAATCCATGAACTTACTCAGGAGGGACAACCTTGCACTGCCTGCTGATTATTACAAAGCTAGTTTCATTGCTGGTCTGAGTGACACTATCCAACATTATGTTCAATGTCATGAACCAGCAGACCTACAAAAAGCTATCTGATTGGCCAGAAGAATGGAACAAGCTCAGCCCAGCAAGAAAACACCAGTGGCTTATATTAATCAGCCAGTTAGGAGGCAACTTCAGTTGGACCCAGGAAAGCCACCTCGTAACAACACACCTACTGTCATCCAACAGGCCAGAATGAAAGGAATCTGCTACTAGTGCAAAGAACCATGGTTTCCTGGCCACAAGAAAGTTTGCAAATTGGCAAATCAAATGCAGATACAAGCCTTGCAAGAGACCTGCCCTGAGGATGCAGAACTGGTCTACTACACTGCTGATGATACTGAAGCTCCACCTCCCACTGACTTGGATGACACTCCCTTGCAAATCTCCATGCATGCCCTCATGGGAGTCACTTCCTCCAAGCTGAGTTTCACTGTTACAGTCATGTTGGGAGACAGACCTGCAACTGCCCTCATTGACAGTGGCATCACTGCAACATTTGTAACTCCTGCACTTGCAAAGCTGGCTCTGTGTGCTCTTACTCCAACTAAGAAAAAGAAAGTGTTAGTTGCCAATGGAGCAACTCTACGGACTGAATTCATTGCCCCCCAGTGCCCTTTTGTGATGCAAGGAACTGAATTTTCCCATGATTTCTGAGTCCTACAGTTGCAAGGTTGTGATGTGATATTGGGAGCTGATTGGATGAAAACTGTTAGTCCTGTCCAGCTAGATTTTGAGGAAATGGAAGTGCAAGTCACACTGAAATCAGGAGAAAAGAAAATCTTCAAGGATGAAAGCTTACCCAGTGAGCCAGTTCAAGAAATGGACAGCATGGAGCACTTATCTGATGACACTATCTGTGGGGCTGTGTTGCTACTAAACAGAATTGCTCTGACAGAACATGAGGACACTGTTGTTCCCCCACCTGTCCAAGAACTTCTGGGTCAGTACAAGGATATTTTTGGAACTCCTACTGATTTACCTCCTAAGAGAAATGTTGATCATGCAATTCCTTTTGAACCTGGTGCAAAAGTTATAAACCAAAGGCCATACAGATTACCTTATCACCAAAAGGAAGCTATGGAAAATATCATTCAGGAAATGATTAAAAATAAGGTATCAGAGATAGTTCAAGTCCTTACTCCTCTCCTGCAATTTTGGTGAAAAAGAAAGATCTATCCTGGAGACTTTGCAATGACTTCAGAAAGGTCAATACTCAGACTATCAAAAACAAATACCCCATCCCTGTTATTGAGGATTTGTTGGATGAATTACATGGAGCCACTGTTTTCACTAAGCTTGATCTCAGAAGTGGATACCATCAGATCAGAATGAAGGAAGAGGATATTGAGAAAACTGCTTTTAGCACTCACTATGGGCACTATGAATACTTGGTTATGCCCTTTGGTTTAACCAATGCTCCTGCAACTTTCCAAATGCTCATGAATACTATCTTAGCCAAGTATCTCAGAAAATTTGTACTAGTATTCTTTGATGATATTTTGGTGTTCAGTAAAAATATGAAGGAGCACATAATCCACTTGCAACAAGTATTTGAAACTCTGAAGGAACACCAGCTGTATATTAAAGCAAGCAAATGTGTCTTTGCTCAGCCTCAGGTGGAGTACTTGGGACATGTTATTAGGGCTGATGGAGTTGCAACTGACCTAGTCAAAATTCAGGCTGTACAGCAATGGCTAGAACCTGAAAATGTCACACAGCTCAGGAGCTTTTTAGGGTTGACAGGTTACTATAGAAGATTTGTGGAAAAGTATGGACTCATTTGCAGGCCACTGTTTAACTCCCTGAAAAAGGACAGTTTCACTTGGGGGCAAGAGCAAGTTCAAGCTTTCAATACCCTGAAGAACAAAATGACACAAGCCCCAGTGTTGGCCTTACCAGACTTCTCCAAGCCTTTCATCTTGGAAATAGATGCTTGTGCCTATGGACTGGGTGCAATTCTAATGCAAGAGGGGAGACCTATTTCCTTTTTCAGTAAAGCAGTTGGCCCTAGAGCAGCTGCATATTCCACTTATGACAAGGAAGCTTTAGCAATTATTGAAGCTCTCAAGCACTGGAAACATTATTTTGCTGCATCCTCTCTCATAATCAGAACTGATCAACAGAGTTTAAAATATATACAAGAACAAAAACTCACCGAGGGAATTCAGCACAAGCTTCTGGTCAAACTCCTTGGCTACAATTACACTATGGAGTACAAGCAGGGCAAGAAAAATAAAGAGGCTGATGCCCTTTCCAGGGTGCACCACAAAATTCATGCTCTAATTGCTTCTACTGTCAAACCTGCCTGGGTAACTGAAGTTGTTGACAGCTACAATAATGACCAAAGATGCAAGGATCTCCTAGCTCAACTAACTGTAAACCCTGATTCTGTGACCAACTACACTGTGCAACAGGGTGTGCTCAGATACAAAAAAAATTGTCATTGGAGCTGATAACACCATCAGAACTAAATTGCTAGCTGCTTTACATAGCTCTGAACTTGGTGGCCATTCTGGTCACAGAGCTACATACCAAAGAGTTAAGCTTCTCTTCCATTGGCCTGGCATGAAGCAATTTGTTGTTGACTATATTAAACAATGCCCAACCTATCAAATAAACAAAGCTGAACACTGCAAGTACCCTGGGCTGCTCCAACCTCTGCCAGTCCCAGACTTTGCCTGGTGCCACATAAGCATGGATTTTGTGGAAGGTCTTCCTACTTCTCACAACAAGAACATGATTTTGGTTGTGGTGGACAGGTTCACTAAATACAACCACTTTATCCCAATGAAACACCCCATTACAGCTAATACTGTAGCTAAGGTAGTCACTGACAGAGACAAAATCTTCACTAGCAAGCTCTGGCAGGACTTGTTCAAGAAGTTGGGAATAAAATTACACATGAGCACTTCGTACCACCCTCAGTCTGATGGTCAGACAGAGAGAGTTAACCAATGCTTGGAAAATTATCTCAGATGCATGGCTTTCATCCAACCACAAAAGTGGCTCAACTGGTTATCCCTAGCAGAGTGGTGGTACAACACTAGCTATCACACAGCTCTCAAGATCACCCCATTCCAAGCCTTGTATGGCAGACCTCCTCATATGTTAGCTGAATCTGCTCTTTATCCTGTGGAAGAACTGGAACAGTTCCCTGATGTACTCACTGCTGAACAAACCGCAGCACATATTAAAGAACACCTCTTGAGGGCTCAAGCCAGAATGAAACATTACGCCGACAAGAAGAGATCTGAGAGAACATTGGAAGTTGGTGACATGGTATACCTGAAACTACAACCTTACAGGCATACCGCTCTCAGTATCCATAGATGTCTCAAGTTGCATTCCAAATTTTATGGCCCATTCAGAGTTATCCTGAAAGTTGGTACAGTGGCTTACAAGCTCCTTCTTCCTGACG